GGTAAACAAGCATACCAAGGTGTAATGTTTTTGAATCGGTATTTGGTGGCAAACTATCTGCAAAACTACTGTGTGGCTTAAGAAGGACCTTAAAAAATTTCCAAGAAAAAATTGTAAACACTTCTAGATATCGAGTGTGAAGTTAAAAGGTTTCAGGACAAGACAGGCCAAAGAGGTTTAACTACTAATTTTAACAGACTTCTTGCTGTTATATGCAGAAACATTAGCACAGGAATAAGGACTGTGATTTTACGATTGATTATGAGGCTTCCCACTCCTTCTAAAAAATAGTTTCACTGGCAACCACATCATTTCTGTCTGTGGTTATCTGATCACATTTAGCTTCTTTTTTCTTGTATGAGTCTAGCTCTAGGGTCTAAGCTCTAGACTCTTCACCAAAAATTCAAAGCACAAAGAAGTCACTTCTTGAAACATAAATATCTCCTCATTGGTAAAGCAGTTATTATTTTCCATAATTTTGCATCTCATTTGTATTATGCTGTTGAGGTAGGTTTTAAAGCCTCAGGAAGCAATGTTGGGTGCTCAACTCCTATGAACAACAGTAGAACCTAACGAGTAAGTCACTGTTCATAAAATCTAACTTCTCACAGTATAATGATGAACTTCTTGATGATAAACCATTAATAAGTTCTAATTAATGTAAATTAATATTTTGGGGAGAAAAGTTGAAATTTTCTATTTTCTCATAACAGTTTTTTACATTTAATTGGCAATTTGTAGTTTATATAGTGCTTTCACATACATTATCACATTCGAGATTTGAATATCCATCTAAAACTGATATACCCAATAACTGAATGTATAAGTAATAAGCAAATATAGAAAAAGATTAAGAAAATGTAAATATCTATGTGTTTCTATCAGTTCATTTTTATACAAGTTCTAAACTGTGTCAATAGCATTGTGATTGTAGGCAATATAGAAAATAATTTTTCCCCTCTGTGTTATTAGAGTTCAACAATGTAGAACCTAAATGAGCTGGTAGAATGAAGTAATTCTGGAAATGTATTCTTCTGTTCTCATTTCCAATATGCATAAAGTTGCTGAATTGTTTATGACAATTTTGGTTTGCATAGAAACCTTGTTAGAAGGTAATTTACCTTGGCAGATTGCAAACTCTAGTAAACAATTTTTTAAAACATAAATTTTTATTTAAGACAATTTTAGATTTACAGAGTTGCTGTGAAGATAGCACAGGGTGTTCCCGTATATTCTTCATCCGGTTTCCCCTATTACTAACATCTTATGTTAGTATAATGTATCTACTACAACTGATGAATGAACTGTGATACATTATTAGTCACTAAGTCCATACTTGATTCAGATTTCTTTAGTTTTTACCTAATACCTCTTTTCTGTCACAGGATCTCATTCAAGAGACATTACATTTGGTCTTCATGTCTCCTTAGGCTCCTCTAGGCAGTGACAGTTTCTCTGGCCTTTCTTGTTTTTTACAAATTTGACAATTTTGAGGAGTACTGGTCAGGTATTTTGTAGACTGGCAATCAACTGTAATTTGTCTAATGTTTCCTTTGATCAATCTGGGGTTATGTTTTTTGGAAGGAAGAACAGAGATAAAGTACCATTTTCATCATTATATCAGGGCAACTATTATCGCCACGATTTATTCCTGTTGATGTTGACCGAAAGCACCTGGCTGAGGAAGTATTTGTCAGTTTTCTCCACTATAAAGTTACTTTCTTACCCTCTTCCACACTGTCCTCTTTGGAAGGAAGTCACTGTGCTCGGCCTCTACTTAAAGAGTGCGAAGTTATGCTCCACCTGCCTGAGAGTGGAGTAAGTACATAAAATATTTGGTCTGGCAGGTATTTTAAAATAGAAAAAACTAGGATGATTCCACAAGTTCAAGATGTCAAAATAAGAAAGAGGAAATCCATATGAGGAAGCCAGGAAGTAAGGAATTTAATATGATGATTTCAGCTAGGGTATGAGGTGGGTTCGTGCTCCTCAGCAAGGGTATAAAGCCTCATGACTTGAGATACATTCCATTCAACTCTTTCCTGCTCACCAAGTTCCTCTGGAAAAGTGAGCATTTGAACATTTTGAAACTATAATGAAGTCCAGAATCCTTTTATTTTTCTCCTGGGATCATCCATGAATACAATACTTCATTCACTGCCAATGCCTATCCTGCAATAATGTTTTGATCTTAAAAATGCATAGTTTCCAGGTTTTCAAGAATTTATTGTCTCTTCTTGGGAAAGTATACAAGTGGACATGTGATAGGAAGAGGTGCTATATCTCATTTCTATAGGAGTAAAATGAGATAGTGATTAAGTGATTTGCTAAAAATCTTTATAATCAATGATTTCCATCTTCACCATTCAACTAAAAGTGGTCTCAAAATCCTCCAAAGATTTACTTGTTACCAAATACAATGGCCTTTCCTCCTTCTTGTTCTCCTAAACCTTTCTGTTGTATTTGACTTGGTTATCTACCCTCTGGTATTAGACAGTTACTGTGTGTAACAAACCATCCCCAAACCCAGTGGCTTAAAAAAGCAAGCATTTATTACTGCTCACACACCCGGGGGACAGCTGGGGGTTATCTAGGTTGGGTTCAGCTGGGCAGCTCTTTTTCTTGTGAAGATCTGCTAGTTGGCTGGGGAATCACTAGTTTGTTTCTCACCTTTCTCTTGAATTCATTTTAGCTATAACATCTTTTTTACCATGGCAGTGGCAGAAGAAAACAGAACAATTAGCAACATCTGAGGTCTTTAAGAGCTAGACTCAGAATCGGCACACTGTCATTTCTGTCACATGCCATCAGTTAAATCAAGTCACATGGCCATGGGGGGGATACATCTATTGTTCAATGAGGTCAACACATAGCTAGTGTGTAGGTCCTCAGATAAGTGAAGAACTGGGGTCAGTGATGCAGTAATATCAGTCACCACATCCTTATTCCCTGAAACACTCCTCCCTTTTAAACACAGTGCTATCTTGACCCTCTCACTTTTTAGTTCAGTTCTTCCTTCAATCTCAGTACTGTCTGTAGACTTTACCCAAGGCTTAGACTTTCAGTCATAAATTCTCCCGTGTGTGCTCTTCTTAAGAAAGCTTATCCGGGATCAGGCTCTCTAATTCCCTAGTGGTCATTTCTAGTTTACCATTGGCCATTTCCATATTTCCACTTGGAATTGCTTCAACTCCTAATCTTTGGTCCCATGCTCCGGTTAAATCAGTGTTTCTTTCCAACACAAAGCTGTATCTCTAAAAAAGACTTGGGTCTTTAGATTGTGTTTGATATGAATGCAAAACAAAAACCAAAAAAAGCCCTAATAAAAACTTTATCCAACATTAATAGGAATTCGACATCCTAAAAACTGAAAAGAGAACGTATCTGAAGGAATACAAAAATGACAAGAAGAGCATTAAAACCATTTCCTATGAGAAATGATTAAAGTTATTAATAATTTTTTTAAACCTAGAGATTATAGGTTTCATAACACTATTCAGATAAAGTATGTGGTATGGAAAGACCTGAGGTTTTTTATCATTTTAGCAGAACCACACCCAATGGGTAGATTCAAGGGAGGAAAATTTCAGCTTGATATACTGAATAAATTTTCAGTAAAAAGAATTGTACAGAAACAGAATGAGCTGATATCTTTATTTTTCATTTGTGTCACTCCTAAAATGTCTTGCTCTTCTTTCTCGCAATAATCTATCAAGATCTTGTCTATCTTTCAAGGCTTATCCCAAGCTTTCATTCCTCCATAAAATCTTTCCTGACTACTCAAATCGTATTGATCCCTTTCAACTTATCTTACTAATCTCCTATCTCATCCCAACTAAATTAAGGGCTATCTGAAAGTAGAAATATGACATACTATTTTATGAGTCCAAGTATGAAACACAACGCTGAGCTTATCATAAGCATGCAGTAAATTTGTACTGGCTTACTGTTCGAGCGCAGATTTCCTGCTCTGAAACCTGGAATCACTAGACATGGTTAGAATTTAAACCAGATTTAAACCCTCAAGAATCTGATCATTTCACACTGATTTCGCAAGAGGATATGGTTTCTGATTTTAATAACAGCCCGAAGAAAATAACAGATTTTGCCATCACTTGCCATCCAAGGTTATATTTTCCTACTTACCAAGAAAAAGGCACTGAGTCCTCTACGATCTTCAATTTATAGCTCTGGATAATTTGTTGGGAGTAGAAGTGTGCCATCATTTCTTTGTGTCTGAAAATTATTTAAAATAAAAATCAACTGGTGACTGGGAATATGTGATGTGGAGGGACACACACAACACGAGAGCTGTCACTCATTTTTATGCAGGTCTTCCTGTTGTCATAGTTACCGATGGACTCAAAGCAATTTCCTTCCCAAATCACACTCTGTAAACCTTCAGTAAAAGTAAGCTATTCTTCATGATTTATTTTTCTCTCCCAGTGAACAGAAGCTAAAAAAATAGCATCAATTGTATGGTTGTTTTTACACTTTTAGCAAGATTTTAAACAAACAAAAGGAATAAGAGGCTTAATCAAAATAAACACCTCTGATTAAGGCCTCGCCTCATTTGTTCAGCAACGATTCACCGCGTAGCTAGGTACTGGGGCACAGCTATGATTATGGCCCAGCTGCTGCCCTAAGAGATTAGAGCTCTGTCAGGGACAAACAGGAGTAAGGGATGCATTCCAATGAAAGGCAGTTAATTAGAGCTATAGTGAAGGCAGAGTACAGAGATCCCGGGAAACAAAAGGGGGACACCTTGTAAAGTTAGGGGCCCTGGTGCAGCAGAGCGAAGGGAGGCTTCCAACCTGTGAGTCTTGGAGCACTTTCCTGGGAAGTTTAGCAAATGCATTTTCGGTCACTTGGGGTACAAAACACCGATGTTACCTGCAGGCTGGGCTCAGAAGCAGTGGAGTGAGGAGGCCAGCACCCCACGAGCGGAGTGCGCCCACCTGCTAGCCTCACACAGCCTCTCCTTTCTGCTCCGGCTGCAGGAACTCCTTCACAGACATCCTCCGCGCCATCCTGCTGTCGCTGGAAGTCCTTATTGAGGATCCGGAGCTCCAGATAAATGGCTTCCTTTTAATCATAGACTGGAGTAATTTTTCCTTCAAACAAGCCTCCAAACTGACACCTTCCATTCTCAAACTGGCCATCGAAGGGCTGCAGGTATGTGCAAAGACTGTGCCATACGAGGCTGTGTGTGACAATGTACTTTTTTCTTATTGCAGCCAGGGTAATATTTGTCTTTTAGAGCGGAAAAAGAAAACAGATAAAATTCACCTGTGATAGTCTGTGTTTTTACCTCAGCCTGAATTTAGATGTTTGGTGTGTGTGTGTTTTGTAATTAGACTTCATTTTCATTAATAACTCTAAATTACTGTTACCACAGGCACGAATTACCTACTGCAGCAATTATGCATAAAGCTCGGAGATATTTATCCAAACTCATCTAAGAGTTTACAAAAATTAAAACTAGAAAATAACTGCTTTATGAGCATGTCCTATATAGAGGTGGCATAGGAGCTTTCCAGGGTTTCTAGAAGTATCTCTGTACCCCGGAAAGGCCCCTGTGGACGCCCACTCCCTAGTATGCAGTGTGCGCAGCGTCTGTGCTGAAGCAGATCCCTTCATGCAAGCAGGGGAAGCGGGTGGAACCCTAGGTCCTGTTTGCGGGGACATCGTCAAGCCCTTGGGGCCGGGCCTTCTGTGCTGTGTGAAGGCAGGGCGGGCAGTCTCTGGGCTCCCTTCTACTTTTAAGGACCACCGATTCTATGAAAAGTGTTAACAAACTCAGAGAGGCGATGCTGCTTAGCTTCTTGGTGGCACATTATTATAGTTCAAAAGTAAAGGCACAGTTGAGGGAGATTCAGAATCAGCACAAGTAAAGCTAATGTCCCTTCTTAATTTTCTAGTAAGACTGACTCAGTGAGGTGAGCCCCCTTCCACTAGGATGTTGGATGTTCTACTGAGTTGTACACTTCAAACGTGTATGGTTTTTTGACCCAATGTCACCCCCAATAAATTCAATAAAAAAATTTCAGTCATTGTTCCAGCTTCTCTAGGTGCTTTGGTTTTACTTCTGGGAATAAAATGCTGTGCACCTAAGTCTCCACTGAACACTGAGCATGCAGATGGTGCATGTTTCAACCAATGAAAATGAAATAATAAACCAATAATAATTTTAAAAAGAGGTGCAAGACTAGAAGCCCCATTTCAATCACCCGTCCTACTCTAGTGTGAGGAGGAATTAGTGTGTCTGTTTCTCAAGCTGGGGCTTATGCCTGTTTGGCCCCCAGCAGCTGTCTAGTGGCCCTCTGAGAATTGTGTTTATTGAATGGGCCTTATTTGATTGAAATGGTTTCCTACTCCAAGGGGAAGCGAAGGGGAGCAGGCATTTCAGAAGAGGAGGAACAGCTCCCCACTGTGCCAGGAGTGCTCGGTGGCCCTGGGGGCTACATCGTCTGGTGTATTGGGGGTGCATTTTAAAGGTTGCTTTTGCATTTCTGGACTACATGGAGGGTCCTGCCTTGTGTTAAAATTCCCAGCCACATTCCCATATGTTCTCTACTATCAATCACTTTCTCTTAACTCTAACTCCTGGTCTCCAACTTCCTCTCATCTAAGCCTCTGAACATTTGATCTCTCTCCCTAAAGCTTTTATCAAAGGGAGTTTTAAAGTAAGCTGCAAGGTTTCTTTCATGCCCTATAATTATGCTGACCATATTTCCAGGATTTTCTGGGGTAGTACAAGCTTCATTTAATTCTATCTTTAAAAAAGATAATTTATTACATGTATAAGTAGCTGTGATTCAAGTTCTCTGTATTTGTAACTTGTTTTCATAAATCAAGAAGGAAAATGTCCTTTACCCAACCTTGTGTTCTAGTTTTTCTTTCTGAAAATTGTGTGGATTACATAATATGTCCCTTGCCAAATTCACTAGGCTGATGTGGGGCTTACTGAGTTAATGCATGTGAATGTGCTTTAAAAGGTAAAGCTATATGTAAGCCTATAAACTTTTTTACAAGAAGTGCTAGATGACCTTCTGAGCCTTCACTTATCATGTAGCAGGACCTGGGATAAACTCTGCAATGTCCTATAACTCTGGTAAGGGTGTAGCCTCTACTGGTAGAAGAGGAGATGGTTGAGGCCAGGGTCAGAGTGGAGAAAATGGAAATCCTCCCATCATCTCACAGAGCAGTGGCCTGGGCCCTTTTATTCCCTTTTGCAAAGCAAGGTAAATTCACCTTGACTGTGAGGAAGCATCAGGCCATCCCGGAATCAGGCTATCTGGATGGACATGCAGCTTTTTCTGGGAACTCTGCCTGCCCAAGCCCTGAAGACCTGGGGACACTTAAAGAGGTTCAGTCCCTCCTGCCAGGAGAAATAGCCAGTGGCCACAGGGGACACTGACCTGGGTGTAGCTCCTCCATAGGATGCAACTCCCTATGACAAGTAGCTTGTTTTAGTAGCTGTGAAGAAGCCCTCAGGGTCACTGCTGTGAGTAGTCAGCTCTGAGCAGCCACTGACAACTTCTCAAACCAGACTATCCTCTCTTGGGCTTTGGGGACATTCAGACACCATGGTCACACCTCTGGTGGCTCTCCCAGTGACCTTTCCTCATGGCAGGGATAGTTTCCATCTCTAATGTAGCCATCAACCCCTTTTGACATTTCAAAAAAGTGATAATTGCTACTAAGCAGAATGTATGCCTTCATCGTCACACTATTGTACAAGGAGGGTCCCATCCAGGTCTCCATGTGTCAGCCATGAAGGTTCAAGATAAATTTCACAACACTGGCAGAGTGAAGGCATAGACCAGTGGAGAAAGGGAAAGCTGTATAAAGCAGTGTCAGCGAGAAAGGAGAAGCCACCGCTCTTTCTTCCTCCTCTGCATCCTCAGAGAGGCCCAAGGAGGTCAGGGTGTCTGCTAGACATGTGGGAGATTGTGGGGCAGGGAGAGCCCATGTTCCAGGGATGGAAACTTGCTGCCCTGCATTTGTAGGGTAGATGTAAGTGGCCTTGTCAGGAGAAATAATCAGACCACTTTTGGGCCAGGCCATCTGGTTGGGGTTTCAGCTGTTTATCGGAGTTGTCTAGGATTACCTGCTGCTCAGCTCCTGGAGAATTTGGGGCCATTGGATATGACAGCCCCTCCTCCAATAACTAATATAACCCCTCCTGCGGGGAAAAGGGGCTTGGGGACCACTGTTCAGGCAGTGAGAAGTTAGGGTCATTTTTGGACATTCTTGTATCCTGCATCACAACCTAGTTCCAGAACACTTAGTTTTAGCGCTGTGACCTCCCTTCTTAGTTCTTGATAAGATAGTCGTTCAATGAGACATTCAATTACTAATTGTTATAGGTTGGGTTTTCCAGTGAGCAGTTTCAGACACAGAGATCACATGCAAGAGATTTATTAGGGAGTGCTCTTGGGGTCAACATTTGTAGAAAAGCAGCCATGGAAAAACGTTTGGCAGAAGGAGAAGTTAAGCTGGGATTCAGTCACTGCCAATGAAAGTTTCAGGATTCTGAAGCTATGATCCTTCAGAGTTGTCCCTCACTGGGGCCAAGGCGCTGGGCCTTTATATCCCCACACTGTACAGTCCTTGTGTGCAGGGTGCCCTGGGAAGTGGTTGTGAGCCTGGGCAAAATGGCTCTCTTCAGCTTGAGTCCCCAGAGGGCACTGTTATCTGAGGGCTTTCTCCTGGTAGCACCCCTAGCCTCCAGGGAATAAATCTTTAGCTCTGAAGGAGGTCTGACTGCATGTGGAACATCTACTGCAATAAGTAATAGATATTTGGAATATCTTGTAATGTAATGAATCATGATGTTTATCTTTTTTCCCCTTGGCTACAATTTACCCCAAAGTGAAGTTGATAACAGGTAATGTAGAGCTGATGGGCACTGGCTAGCAGCCTGGTGACAGTCTTCTATTTAGGTCTATCAGTGGTATTTCTATGCTCCAAAAGGCAATTATATGCTTATGAAGGAGCACAGGCAATACAATGGAGCAAAGATAGTCTTTTCAACAAATGGTGCTGGAACAATTAGATATCCACTTGCAAAAAAGGAAAGAAAAAAAAAGGATCTGGACACTGACCTTACACCCTTCACAAAAATTAACTCAAGATGGGTCACAGACTTAAATGTAACATGCAAAACTATAAAACTTCTAGAAGGTACATAGGAGAAAATCTATGTGACCTTGGGCATGGGGATGACTTTTTAGATACAACACCAAAGGCAGAATCCATGAAAGAAATAATTGATAAGCTGGATTTCATTAAAATTAAAAATCTCTGCTCTGCAAAAGACAATGTCAAGAGAATGAGTAAAAAGCCACTGACTGGGAGAAGATATTTCCAAAAGACACATCTGATAAAGGACTATTACCCAAAATATACAAAGATCTCTTAAAACTCAACAATAAGAAAACAAATAATCCAATTTAAAAGTTTGACCTGAACAGAACGCCTCACCAAAGATGGAAAATAAGATACAAAAAGTTCCTTCACATCATGTGTCGTCAGGGAAATGCAAATTAAAACAATGAAATATCACTACACAACTGAATGACCAAAAGCTGGGACACTGACAATCCCAAATCCTGGCAAGGATGCAGAGCCGCAGGAACTCCCATTCCCCGCCCGTGGGGACGCACAATGGTACAGCAGCTTTGGAAGACAGTTTGGCAGTGTCTTAAAAAACACACTTTCACCATATGATTCAGCAGCCTTGCTCCTTGGAACTTACCTAGAGGAGTTGAAAATTTATGTGCATGCAAATATCTACAGCAGTTTCATTTATAACTGCTGAGACTTGGAAGTAGCCACGGTGTCTTTCAGTAGGTGCATAGATAAACTATGGTAACATCCAGGCAATCGAATATCACTCAGTCCTAAGAAGAAAGGAGCTATCGCACCGTGAAAGGACATGAGTAGAGGAACCTTAAATGCAAATTGCTAAGTGAAAGAAGCCGATCTGAAAAGGATGCATTGTGTATAGTTCCAACTATGTAACATTTGGAAAAGGCGAAACTGTGGAGACAATAAAAAAATGAGTAGTTGCCCGGGATTGAGGGTGGAGCAGGGAGGGATGAGTGGGTGCAGCCCAGGGGATGTACGACACTGTAATGATGGATACGTGTCGCCACACATTTGCCTAA